ACTCGCTTGAGCCCAGGAGTTGGAGGTTGCTGTGAGCTGTAATGCCATGGCACTCTACCCAGGGGGATAGCTTGAGGCTCTGTCTCAAAAAAAAAAAAATAGTAATTATCAGTGGGGCGCGGTGGCTCACACCGCATTGTGGTGGGCACCTGTAGTGCCAAGCCTTTGCACTGAGTGCTAGGAAACATGAAATGACACTCATAGCCCAATGTCCTCTGAGAATGGGCAGTCTCTTGGGGGCAAAAACATAGAAGCACAATCAACTTGGTATATAACTTCATGCTAAGATGTGTGATGCTGAGAAGCCAGGAAAGAAAATTGGCCCAGAGTCTCTGCTAAGAGGCATAGATATGAAAGGGGGATGTTGCCACATTTCAGAGGCTCTTCAGGTACAGGCTAAGCAAGTGAACTTTCTTCTGTGCTATTATTATTATTAACAACAACACATTAAATCTCTGGCACCTACATGATTTTCATAACTGCATGAAGCAGGACTGTAAGAGGTATTATTCCCATTTGTCAAATGGGGAACTAAGTTCTTCCAGGAAGTAACCCAGCCAGCTTTTTTTTCTGTTAGGGACAGAAGCCAGTGAAGCCCAGTTCTGAGTCAGGGGGGTCACATAATTGTTCAACAGGGAAGCTTTCTGTTTGCAGAAAGCTTTGTCATTTACAAGGTGCTTGCTCAGGCATGTTTTCAGGTTTGCTCTCCTTACCCCACAAGGAAGGAAGGGATGGTAGAGAATACCCATTTTGCAGAGAAGGAAACTGAGGCCCAGAGAGATTATAAGCCTTGCCTAATTTATAAAACACTGAGAGGAAGGGTCAGGACCAGAAGCCAGGCTCTCTGACTCCAGGGTCCCTCTTCTATTGGAAACATAGGATCACCAGGGAGAGGGGACAGAATGGACAAAACAGCTGTGGTCAACAAGGTGTTAGACCCGTCCATTTCTTGATGTTAGCTCTTTCCCACTCCATCCTCTGCTTTGGTCCTCACTTCTCTCCTGGGTAAGCAGCAGATGCCTACCAGTCTCCCAGCCACCCCCCTAGATCCCCACCACTAAAGGCCAAGTCAGACCCAGCTCTCTATCTTAATTCCAGCCTCTCACCTTTGGGTACTCTCTGGCTTGAATCCTGTCCTTGGGCCAGAGCATAAAATCAGGCTGACTAGAAGTACCTATGTTGGCCCCGGGCTCACAAGTTGCCTAGGATTCTACTAGAATTACTCAGTCTGGTTTCTCTACAGCAGCAGATTGTTACCAGAGTTGAGTTAGGGTATTTTTCTTTCTTTCTTTCTTTTTTGAGACAGAGCCTCAGGCTGTCACTTTGGCTAGTGCTGTGGCATCACAGCTCACAGCAGCCTCCAACTTCTGGGCTCAAGTGATTCTCCTGCCTCCTCCTCTCAAGTAATTGGGACTACAGGCGCCTGCCACAATGCCCGGCTATTTTTTGGTTGCTGTCATCATTGTTGTTTGGTGGGCCCAGGCTGGATTCGAACCTGCCAGCTCAGGTGTATGTGGCTGGCACCTTAGCTACTTGAGCCACAGGCGCCTTTTTCTTTTTTTGAGTCAGAGTCTCACCCTGACACCAGGCTAGAGTGTAGAGTGTAGAGTGTAGTATAGTGTCTGTTACTTCAGACTCCTTGGTTCAAGCAAATTTCCTACCTACCTCAGCTTCCTGAGTAGTTGAGATTACAGGTGTGCACCATCACACCCAGCTAAATTTGTATTTTTTTAGAGATGAGGGTCTTGCTATATTGTCCAGGCTGGTCTTGTACTCCTGGCCTCAAGCAATCCTCCTGCCTTAGCTTCCAAAAGTTCTGGGATTACAAGCATGAACCACTACATCCAACTTAAATGGAGTCTTTTAAGGGTGGTACCTGTGGCGCAAAGGAGTAGGGCGCCGGCCCGATATGCAACAGGAGTTTGAGACGAGTCTGAGCAAGAGCAAGAGCGAGACCCCATCTCTAAAAATAGCCAGGCGTTGTGGCAGACGCCTGTAGTCCCAGCTACTCAGGAGGCTGAGGCGAGAGGATCACTTTAGTCCAAGAGTTTGAGGTTGCTATGGGATATGATGTCTTACTAGTCTACCCAGGGTGACAGGAGTGAGAGTCTGTTTCCAAAAAAAGGCTGAATAAGGCAGTGCCTATGGCTCAAAGGAGTAGGGCGCCGGTCCCATAAGCCGGAGGTGGTAGGTTCAAACCCAGCCCCGGCCCCCCAAAAAAAACTGCAAAAAAAAGGCTGAATAATATTCCACTGTATCGGGCGGCGCCTGTGGCTCAAAAGGGTAGGGTGCTGGCCCCATATGCCGGAGGTGGTGGGTTCAAACCCAGCCCTAGCCAACCCCCCCCCACGTGTATATATATATATATGTATATGTGTATATATATATATTTTTTTCCATTGTATGAAATATACCATGTACAACATTGTGTTTACCCACTCTACCCACTCCTCTGTTGATAGAGCACTTGGGTTGCTTCCACCTTTGGCTATTATAAATAATGCTGCTCTGAACAGGGACCTACAAATACCTGTCTAAGGACCTGCTTTCAATTCTTTTGAGTATAGACCCAGAAGTGGAATTGCTGAATAACAGGCAATTCTAGTTTAATTTTTTGAGGGCACCATTTCATTTAATGCCAGCATAACATCCCTTTTACTTTTTTTTTTAGAGACAGAGTCTCATTTTGTTGCCCTTGGTAGAGTGCTGTGGTGTCAGAGCTCACAGCAATCTCCAGCTCTTGGGCTTAGGCAATTCTCTTGCCTCAGCCTCCCAAGTAGCTAGGACCACAGATGCCTGCCACAACACCATTTTTTGTTGCAGTTTGGCCAGGGCTAGGTTCGAACCCGCCACCCTTGGTATATGGGCCAGCGCCCTACTCACTGAGCCACAGGCGCTGCCCTTTCTTTTCTTTTTTTCAGAGACAGAGTGTCACTCTGACACGCAGGCTGGAGTGCACTCTGATCATAGGTCACTGTAAGTTTGAACTTATAGGCTCAAGCTAACCTCTTGCCTCAGCCTCTCAAGTACCTAGGACTATAGGCAGGTTCCACTATGCCAAGCTAATTTCAAAATTTTTTGTAGATGTTGTAGATGTTGAAATGTTGTTCAAGCTGGTCTTGAACTCCTGGCCTCAAGTGATCCTCCTTCCTTGGCCTCCCAAAATGGTAGGATTACAGGCGTGAGCCACCTTACCTGGTCCATAATATTTCTTTCTTTCTTTCTTTTTTTTTTTTTTTTTGAGACAGGAGCCTCAAGCTATCCCCCTGGGTAGAGTGCCATGGCATCATGCTCACAGCAACCTCCAACTCCTGGGCTCAAGCGAGTCTCCTGCCTCAGCCTCCCAAGTAGCTGGGACTACAGGTGCCCACCACAACGCCCGGCCATTTTTTGGTTGCAGCCATCATTGTTGTTTGGTGGCCTGGGCTGGATTCAAACCCGCCACCTTAGGTGTATGTGGCTGGCGCCTTAGCCACTTGAGCCACGGGCGCTGAGCCCATAATATTTCTTTCTTACTTTTCTTTTTGGAGACAGTCTGACTCAGTCGCCCTGGTGTTGAGTAACATGGCATTATAGCTCACAGAAACCTCAAACTCTTGGGCTCAAGTGATCCTCTTGCCTTAGCCTCCTCAGTAGTTGGAACTACAGATGCCCACCACAACACCTGGCTATGTTTTTAGAGGTGGGGTCTCACTCTTGCTCAGGTTGGTCTCGAACTCCTGAGCTGAAATGATCCCTTTCCTCGGCCTCCCAGAGTGGTAGGATTATAGGCATGAGCCATCTTAGCCTAGCCTCATGGTAATATTTCTTAATATGATCCAATAATATGTCTACTGATAAACATTAAACACCATGACTTTTTTCCGATTGAAAACAATCCCACAATTAACATCTTTAAGGATATCCATATTTGGGCAATGTACATATATTTCTATAGGAAGACTCCTGGAAAGGAAACTTAAGTTAAATTATGCACAATCACAAATTTAATAGTTACTGTCAAATGCTTTCTAATGAGTTTTTTTGAGACAGAGTCTTACAATGTTGCCCTTGGTAGAGTGCCATGACGTCACAGCTCACAGCAACCTCAAACTCTGGGGCATAAATGATTATCTTGCCTCAGTCTCACAGTAGCTGGGACTACAGGTGCCTGCCACAATGTCTGACTATTTTTTGTTTGTTTGTTATTGTTGTCATTGTTGTTTAGCAGGCCCTGGTTGGGGTTTGAACCCACTGGCTCCAGTGCATGTGGCCGGCTCCCTAACCGCTGAGCTACGGGCACCAAGCCACCACTATACAGTTTTATTATCACTGTATTTGGCTGCATCTATCTGCATCCTGTCCAACACGCCGTACTATCAATCTTTTAAACTTTTGTCACTATGACAGTTGTAGTTTTGATTAGCATTTCCCTTATTACTGATGACGCAGAACACCTTTTCAAATGTTTACTATTTCTTCCTCTGTGATTTGCCTTTTTTGCTTCTTTGCCAATGGCATTTCCAGTACTTCCTCTACTTAGTCTTGCAGTTGGCTTTGCCACTGTTGCCAGTTATAGAATTTTAAGTTTGAAATGATTTTCCATTGGAATTCTGTAGACAATGCTCCGTCCGCTGCCTTTTAGAATCCATGGTTGCTATTGAAAAGCCTGATGCCATGTTGATTCCTGATCCTTAGTATGTGACCTGTTTTTTTCTACGAGAAAATGTTTCAGATCTTCTCTTAACCCCTGATATTCTGTAATTTCATGATGTGCCTTCCACAAGTCTCTTTGCATTCATCATACTAGTCACTTTTTAATCTAGAGACTTGTGTATTTCAGTTCTGGGACTTCTCCTTGTGAGTTTTTCTTTTTTTAAAAGAATTTTCTTTTCCTTTGTTCTCTGTTTTTAAGCTCTTTTGTTCAATACAAGGCTTCCTGGATTGATCCTTTGACTTTCCTTTGCCTTTCTCTTTTTCTTTTTTTCTCTCTTTTAGTTCCTTTCATTTCAATTCATTATTCTTCTCTTGGAGTTTAAGTTTCCATTCTCATAGTTTTGACTTCCCAGAGCTTTCTTGTGTTTTCAGATGGTCCATTTCTCATGGCATCCTTGGAAGGGTGCCAAGCAAGGAGGACCCAGGTTGTATAGACGTGGCCTGGGCTTCTCACTGTGCCCTTCCCCTCTCCCCTGAGAGCTGCCTCTGAGGTCCTTCATGACTCCTCCAGTCTGGACTCTGGTGCTGCTGATGGGGGCTGCCTGGGGCCGGGGCCAAACACCTGCCCCTGTTTGGTAAGCTGGGCTCAGAGGGTCATAAGAAATCTGGGGTGGGCTGGGAATGGTGGCTCATGCCTGTAATCCTTGCAGTCTGGGAGGCTGAGCTGGATGAATCCGTTGAGCTCAGGAGTTCAAGACCAGCCTGAACAAGAGACCCTATCTCTACTAAAAATAGAAAAATCAGCTGGGCATTGTGGCAGGTGCCTATAGTCTCAACTACTCAGGAAGCTAAGAGGATTTCTTAAACTCAAGAGTTTGAGGTTGCTGTGAGCCATGGCACTCAATATAGCATGACAGAGGGACTGTCTAAAAAAAAGAAGAAAGAAAGAAAAGAAAAAAAAAACCTGGGAAGATTAGGGGCAGAGCTGGGGAGGTGAGTGGCAGGCTGGTGACAAAAGACAGGCCTCAGCGGGTGGGACAGGAAGGGGTTAATTGCACAGCCCCTGAGCCTGGGGTTGAGAAACAGGCAAGAACTGAAATCTGAGGAGAAATGAAACAGAGGAAGTACAAGGTTGGGGAGACAAACCTGGGACTGGAGAGAACAGAAAAGTGGGCCCCTTGGAAAATGTACAAAACCCAGGTTGATTCAGTTCATGAGAGACCTCAAGTAGGAGGCAGCAAGAAACGATGGATGGCTTGGTGTCCTGGAGCTTGTCTGGGGAGATTTGAGTAAGCAGAATTTGAACCAGAAAAGCAAGAGCTGCTGTTCTGGGCATCACACATTACCTGGGGAGGGGCAGTAGCTTCTCTGCGGCATTTGTGAAGTTAGGAGAGATGGGGGCATCTCTTTACTATCATTTATGTGCCACCCCCACCCACCTGGGAACTTAGAAGGTAAGCCTCGAGGGATTGTGACAAAAACCTCAACCCTTAGGGAGATACCCAGGGTATAAACACAGGGAACTGCTTCCTCCTGTGACATTCAATAGCTCACATGTGGCTCAGTGCCTGTAATACAGTAGTTATGGCACCAGCCACATACACCAAGGCTGGCAGATTGGAACCCAGTCAGGGCCTGCTAAACAACAACTGCAATTAAAAAAAATAACTGGGCGTTGTGACAGGTGCCTGTAGTCCCAGCTACTTGGGAGGCTGAGGCAAGAGTGCTTAAGCCCAAGAGTTTGAGGTTGCTGTGAGCTGTGATGCCATGGCACTCTACCCAGGGTGATGGCTGAGTCCTCTTTCAAAAAAAACAAACAGGGTTGGTGCCCGTGGCTCAGTGAGTAGGGCGCCGGCCACATACACCAAAGCTGGCAGGTTCCAGCCCAGCCCTGGCCTGCTAAACAACAATGACAACTGCAACCAAAAAACAGCCAGGTACTATGGCGGGCACCTGTAGTCCCAGCTACTGGGGAGGCTGAGGCAAGAGAATCACTTAGAACCAAGAGTTGGAGGTTGCTGTGAGCTGTGAGGCCAACAGCACTCTACCGAGGGTGACATAGTGAGACCCTGTCTCAACAAAACAAACAAAATAGCTCACGTGTCTAGGGTACAGGGTAGAGGGAACTAGTGGGGATGTAAGAACCTCAAGGGGGACCATTGTTAGGTAAGAACTCAGTTGAGAAGGCTGTGAGTGACCTTTTGGAAAACTTTTAAAAAGACAAGTAAAATCTATTTACCGTGTAAACATTGATAGGGTATAGACACAAAGAAAGGAACAATCGTGCTTAATAGTAAGTGACCACCCAGAAAGTTCACAGTCACTGAGCCTTATAATTCTTGGCAATGACAAGGGTTACATTTTTGCTTTCTCCAAACCACCCCGAAGGAGAGAGAAGACTCCAGACCGGACTCTGGTCGTTCACAGCTCTAGGGACAACAGTGAGTTGGAAGCCAGGAGGGCTCAGATCTCCTCTTCCCTCAGAACCTGTATCCGGGCACCAGAACACCAGTCCCTAGCCCAGGGGTGGCCACATGGAGTGCCCTCAGGTCACAGACCATGGCAACAACAAACATGCCGCCCAGACAAACCTGTCTGTCCAGCTGAATATAGCTGCAGACCTCGACCTCACTTATGACCCCTAACCTTGTCATTCTGTCATTCTGCTCACACCCCAGCCCTGAATTTCTCCTAAAAGAGTTTCTCTCTCAAATCTCCGTTCTGGACCCTAAATCTTAGTGGCACCCTTATCTAAGCTCAGCACCCTCCTCTAAATCCCGCTGACTTTCCGCTCCCAGTTTGGCTCTGGGGTGCTCTCTGCCTTCTGCCAAACCTCACAACGGTGCTTTCCTCTCAGACATTCTCACCCAGTGTGATTTTGAGGATGAGTCTAAACCCCTCTGTGACTGGTCTCAAGCGTCCGCAGATGATGGGGACTGGATTCGAGCCAACGGGTCCTCCCCCACTGGCACCACTGGGCCTCCAGGGGGGTACCCTGATGGAGGTGAGCAGACCAAGGAGAACCTTAGGCTTGGGGAGCACAGTGGGTGGGAGGTCACGGAGAAGTGGGCACATGCAAGTATGGAAGAAGGAGAAGAGAGGGAGTGGGACATGGAGCTGTGCTCTGAGAAGGGAAGGTGGAGCTTGGGACCAGCCCTGGGGATGGCAGGGCCTCACCAGCTTGGGCTCTGCCTCCCCAGAGGGCAACTACCTGCACATGGAATCGAACTCTTTCCGGCGGGGTGGAGTGGCCCGCCTGCGCAGTCCCTACCTATGGGTGCAAGGGCCCCTCTGTGTGCACTTTGCCTACCATATGTTCGGGCTGTCATGGGGAGCTCAGCTCCGACTGCTATTGGTCCCGGGTGCACACAGCAAGCACACTGGTGTCCTCTGGAAACAAAGGAACACACAGAGCCCCTCTTGGATGCCCACTACTGTCACTGTGCCCGCAGGATTCAGCTTGCCCAGCCGGGTGAGGTCAAGGGCAGATCTTGGGGCCCCAGTGGGAATCTGGGTATTGGGGGTCCTGGGAGGCAGTGGTGAGGAGGGGACATGGGAGCCGGGCCATCTGAAGTCAGGAAGGGAACCTTGAGCCAGACACAAAGTGACAGGAAGTCTGGCCAAGAAGCTTACAGGGTTGGGGGGGGTCCCCCTGTTGCCCTTCCACAGCTGATATTTGAGGGAACCAGGGGCAGCACTGCCTATCTGGACATCTCTCTGGATGCCCTCTCTATCCGCCGAGGCTCCTGCAATCGGGGTGAGTCCTTGCCCTTCCTCCTGTCCCTGCCCTTGCACAATTTCCCAGGGGGCAGAAGTGGCTCAGGGACCAGGACCCTGGTGGTCTCAGAATTGAGCCTGCTTGTGTCCTTCCACTGCCACCTGCACCCCCTTGATCCCTGAAGCAACCACACCTAAAAAGAGGTTCTCTTCTAGCATAGAGTTGGAATGATGCCTGTTCTAGAATCACCAAACACCTACATTTGCCCTTGGCTGTCCCTATTTTAGCACTGAATGTCCCTCAGTTCCATGTAAACCTGGATGTTGGGTCACCTGATCTGTTACCCCCACTATCACCATCCCAATACATCCAGAATTAGTCCTCTAAGCTGATGTGAGAGATTTTAGGGGAGCAAATTCAAGGGAAGGAAAATTCTAGAAGCTGGGTAAAAGGAATTCTTGCTTAACTGAGCACAAGGACTGGACTAAATCCTCCATGTACATGACTTAATTTACTATTTGATGAGGTGGGAGCTATTGTTTCCAATTTACAGATGAGGATACTGAGGCTTGGATAGGTTAAGTAACCTGTGCCAGGAACATAGCCAGTGGGCAGTGGGCTCATACCAAGCTGCAAAGCTACCATGGTACACAGTAAAACCCAGAACTCTGACTTCTAAACTGAGGTTACCTTTTTCTGAGCTACCTCCTTTCAGAAGTTACATAATCCCTTCCTTTCTTTTCTCTCAGTCTGTATCATGCAAACATGCAGCTTTGACACTCCAAATGACCTCTGTGGCTGGAGCTGGGTCCCAACTGCCTCTGGGGCCAAATGGATCCAGAAAAAGGGACCATCGGGGAAGCCAGGCATGGGGCCCAGTGATGACTTCTCTAACCCTGGCGGTGAGTAACAGCCAGGCTTCCATCCTTTGACTTATTGGGCTTTAGTAACTTCCATAAACCCTCCAATAACTGCCATGGCACAGTGTGGGACAAACCTTGACAGCCTCAAGCCTCTATCAGCTCAAGTTTCTGGAAAGAAGCAAACTCCAAGCACCCAGCAAAACCCCTTCCCCCAAGCTCTACCCAATACAATCTGCTCCTTACCTCTTTTCTCTGGTACCTTTTATTCTTCATTCATTCAAGAAATACTTAATGATCACCTGTGATGTGCCCAGTGGTGTCCTAAGCGTTTGAGATACATTAGTGTTCAGAACAGACAAAGAGTAGTGGGAGATAAGGGGGAGACAGTAATTGAAATAAAGAAGTAAATTATATAGTTATAAAGGGGGCAGTGCTATTGAAAGGGAACTGGATGTGCAATTGTAAATAGAGTGGTCAATTTTAAATATACAGGGTGGTCAAGGTAGGTCTCATTCAGGTTATATTTGAGAACAAACTTGAAGGGAATAAGAGAGTAAGGCATGAAACGGTTGCTGTGGGAAAGAACATTCCAGGCAGAACGGCCAGCCGCAAAGGCCTAGGGCCGGCTGGGGAAGGAGAGGCTTGGGTACACCAAGGCACCATGTGGTTGGGATGAAGAGGATGAGCTCAGACCAGTCATAGAAGGGGAAGCCTTAAAGGTCGCTTTCAGGACTATGGTTTTTATCCTTTGTGAATGGGAGCTTCTGTAGGACTTTGAGCAGAGGAGTGACTTGATCTGATGTACTTTAAAAAGATCACCTGGTTTTTGTGTTGAGAATCCACTTAGGGGAACCAGCAAGGGTAGATGCAGGAAGGCCTTTAGGAGGCCTACAACAATCCAGGTGACTCTCTTCTTTCCATTCACTTATATCCTTAGCTTCTTTCCACCACCTCCCTGTACCTTAGGCTGGGCTCTTCTTTTTACTGTTCACTTCTTCCTTTTCTCTCCCTGACAGCATTCACCTCCCCTCTCAATCTTCACACATCACCCACTTACAGCCCAAACAGAGCTAAGCATTGCCAGTCAAACATAGAGGACCCTACCTGATCCCTTATTTCCTTTCCGAGTTTCTATTTCTTCTTTCTTCTTTTTTCTTTCCTATTTCTCCTTTCTCAGTCAGTCCTCTTCTTCCTTTATCCCTTTCACATTTTCTCCATTCTTTTCCATCTCTCCCTTACCTACTCCATTAGTGTCCACCCCAACTCCGTGCTCTGCTTCCTGAAACCGCGCCCCCATCTGCCGTCAAGTCCACCTCCACATTCCCACAGCATTTAGCACCGTGTCCCAGGCCCAGTAAATGTTTTTAATTTTTTTCTCTCTCCCTTCCATTTTCCATCTTGATCGCTTCCTTATATATTTTAATCTTTTCCTTCTTTTTCTCCGATTTCTCTTCTTCCGTTTCTCCGATCTCTCCTTGCTTTACTTTCCCTTCCTTCTGTGTTTCCTTTCTTCCCTCTACTCTACCTCCAAGTCCCCTTCCTTGCCCCTCCGGGGCCCCACTTCCTCGCCTGGAATGGGGCGGGACCCAGAGCAAGTCGAGCACGAGTACGCAGGCGTACCCGCTCCCCACCAATTGGAGTAGGGGGGCTTACATCTTCTCCCGGCGACCAGTTACGTCATGGAGAGCAGTACAGGCTCATTGGCTGCCTGAGGGGGCGTAGGTTGTGTTGAGTGGGGAGCTGCGCGCGCTCTGCAGTGTTAGACCGGCCTTCTCCCACCGGCTTGTATGAATCAGCTTTGCCTAGTGGTTGGAGAAAAGGAGGAGGGTATGAGTTAGGATCTCTAAAGAGTTAGGACCCCAAGGGCAGAGTTTTCTGGCTGGTGCTTCAGGGTAGATGCCCGTGTTTCCTTTGGTGGCGCCAGGTCCTTACCTAGCCCAGGCATTTCTGGGAAACTTGAAGCCAGTTGTGACAAGGGTGTAGGCTAAGGTGACCAGACGTCCCACTTTTTAACAATTTGTCCCGCGTCCCGCGGCATTTTAAAAAAGCCTCGATTTTTGGAAAGAATGCACGACAAGCTAGGGAACATGGGAGAACAGGAAGGGAATATAGGGTTTTCGGCTGCCATGTGGCTATTTCTCCAGGATATGCGTTTTATATTATTTTTGTTAATTTTATAATGTTAAACTTTAATAATAACAAGTAATTGTTGAGAACTGATTATTGAGAACTGCTTATCAAAGTTTGCATTGTTGTCAGCCCCCCCCCCATGGTGTCCCGCTTTACCAATGTTAAAATCTGGTGAGCTTAGTGTAGGCCCATTTCAGTGCTGCTTTCAGTGCTTCCCAGCCTCCCTAGGGCCCTATTCTTGTTGGTGTACTCCCCTAATTCCAGCTACCCCATCTTCCTGGCCTTTTCTTTGTAGATGGCTACTACATGCTCCTGAGCCCAAAGAATGCAAGACCTATGCAGAAATCTGTCCTCCTGAGCCCTCTGAGCCATTCCTCCGGCTGTCTGAGTCTTTCCTTCCACTACACCCTCTGGGGCCAGTCTCCTGGTGCAGCCCTATACGTCTATGCTTCGGTCTTGGGTTAGAGTGGAGAATTCATGGGATTTACACTGATGTGGGCTCATCTCCCAGGGTGGGCTTGACAAGGAAATATGGGGTGTCCTTCAGAGTCTAGGGAAGTCTGGGATGTGTGTAAAATTGTTCCTTGAAGTGGAAATGGGGGCTGGGAGGGCTCTAGATTCTGGAAAAATAGATAAAGGTGCCAGGAGAGTGAGAGAAGGATGTACTTGGGGGAATATTCACCAAGTATACCCTCTGCTATTCATCTTTCTAGTATAGGTTTAAAGTCAGTTCCCAGTCCCCTTAAGCTCACTTCTCTCTCTGATTCCCTCTACTTCAGGCAGCATCCGGAAACACTCTCTCTTCTCGGGACAACCCAGACCCAAATGGGAGGCTGTTTCTGTCAATTACACGGAACAGGGACAGATACAGGTACAGAGGAGCAAGGTCAGGTCTTTGTACATAGTAGTCATGCCTGATGTTGAAATGGATTGACATTCTGGGTACAAGGAACAAGGGTCCTGGGTTCCTGGCTGGAGTAAAGTTGATCAGGGGACTAGGGGTTTGGGCTCTTGCTCACTCCCAGGCCACTCTCCCTCTCTCTTTAGTTCACTGTGGTGGGCGTGTTTGGAAAGATCCCAGAACCAGCTGTGGCGGTGGATGACATTAGCATCGCTCCTTGTGGGGGTGAGAGCAGCCCTGGGAGGCCTAGACCTTTGATAATTGGGATTGGACTGGTAGGGAGATGGAGAGTGTGGCCCAGCTTCTTCATGTTTCCCATTTTGATCTGCTAGAGAGCTTCCCTCGGTGTGACTTTGAAGATGAGGCCCATCCCTTCTGTGACTGGACCCAGACATCAAGGGATGGCGGACACTGGACCCAGGGACATAAAAATATACCCTTTCAAAGCATAGGCCCCTCAGATTTCCTTGGAGGTGAGGACGCCTCAAAACAATGTATTCCTGAATCTGCTCCTGGCTTGAGGGCTGGTTGGTGTGACTGATGGAAGAAGTTGTTGTAGGTGGTGAAGATCAGACAGCAGATGTTTTTTGGAAATCACCAAGGGCCAGAGCTGTGGAGATGGCAGAATAAAGTCAGTTGAGGATTCTCAGGGCTGTGGGGTCACTGAAGCCCCCAGAAAATTCAGGCATCTTACTTTATCGAGCCCAAGGCTTCAAAATCCATAA